TCTGAGGATCCCCTTCCGCCGCTGGTTTGGGGGTTCCCCACCAAACTTCAGAACTCTCCATCTCGATCGAATTGAAGTCGATTCGGCCGATTTTCAGACGAATCGATGGCACTTGTCGAGTCCTCGAAGCACAGCGAAAGGGTCTGGGCCAACTCGTGCGATTACGCGTGCATTGGAGTCGTCGAATTGAAGATTTACACAGGCAACCACGTTGTTGATGATGACAGTGTAGCCTTTGCGCTTGGCGCACCGGAAGATCTCCGTGAAAGTCTGCCCCTCGGTCGTATTCCTCCCGTTTTCGCTGATGATGAGGTCCACGCCAAAGTCGATGCAGGCGCATAGCACGTCGAGGCATGTCTTGGAAGCAGGGGCATCGACCCCGCGCTCGCCCCGACCGTCCTTGAGCCCTCCAGTGCAGGGCCCGTCGACCACGACTGCGTACGGCGCAAGGCGCCTCAATAGCTCCATCACAACGATGTAACCGAGCTCCAGCACGAAGCCCTTCCCCGGGTGGTTCACATCCACAAACTTTGCCTTGGTCGCATTCATGTCGTAAGATCCCAGCAGCCAAAAGTTGAAACAACGCAGCACGGCCGTTAGATTCACGGCGATTCCCGTGCAGAGTCCGAGGCACGTTCGCTGTCCAGGAGCGGGCCCCGAGTCAGCACACGGAGCAGTGGCGTTCTCCTCGTCCGGCTTGAACATCCCTCTGGTCAATTCTTCCGGGAGGGCATCAAGACGCACGTCCGCACCCCGCTGTCGCACGCTTCCCGCTCCGTGCTCGTCCTCGTCCGTTTCGGCTTGCTCGTCGTCCTCGACGTCGTCCTCGACGTCGTCTTCGACGTCGTCCTCGTCGCAGCAGTGTTTTGGCGCGAGGCGTAGTTTACCGTCGGGACCATGCTCAAACCAGCCACTGCATTGCGATGTTCCCTCTCGCGTGCGAACTCGGCTCGCGCCGCATCCAAGGCCCGGGAAAACTTGCGTGCGAGTAGTTTGCGATCCGACGGCTCAAGACTTTGGGAGAACGTGGGAGTGTCCTCATAGCCACGCGTCAGACCATCCAGCCAGCCGACGAGTCCGGCGCTATCCACCACCGTATATGGTCTATCATCGACCCCGTAAAAGAGACAGAAGTGGTGGTGGCCTTGAGACGGTAATTCATCTTTGACGGCCTTGGGGACCACCTGCGGGTCTAAGACAATCCCTGGCCAGTATTGGTTTTTTGATTTTCTTTTTGGGAGTGTCTTGTCCTTGACCCAGTAGACCTTCCAGAAGCGGTCCTGGGGATGAGTGTCCTCCGAGCCGCGCGTGTCGGCGTCCGTGTCCGTGAGGGGCCTACGAGCAGGAAACGCATGGGGAGTTTACAGAAGACAGATGTTTCACTTACCTTTTAGTTGCCTTGGCCTTGCGCGCCTTGGCCGCCGCGGGCTTGCCCTCGGCGCGGTCGAAGCAGCGCGTGAGCTCCGTGAAGCTCTCGCTCGTATCGAAGTCGAAGCTCTCGCGCGGCTCGCTCTCGTAGGACCACTCGACGACGCACCTCCGCGCCACGACGTCGATGTCCGCGATGCGGCCGGCAAACGGCTTTTCGCCGTGGCCCGTGAACTTCTTCGCGACCGTCGCGTCGACGCGGATGCGCCGGTCCTCGGGCTCGCCGGCGCTGCCGTCGGGCTCGCCGGCGCCGCCGTCGTCGTCGCCGAGCCCGACGGCGGCGCCGTCTTCGGCGGAGCCCGGCGGCGGCGGTGGCGGTGGTGGCGGGTCGTCGTCGTCGCCGTCTCCGGCGGGGCCCGGCGGCGGCCCCGCGGACGGCGCGGGCGCCGACGCGTAGTAGGCCGGCGGCACGACGCCGCCGTTAGCGTCGAAGTGGACGCGCAGGGCCGCCGCGACGTCGCCGCCGGCGTCGCCCAGCAGCGCCGCGACGTAGCCGTCGGGCGCGTCGCCGACGACCTGGCGCACCAACGCCATTTCCGCGTCGACGGGCGACGGCGCCTCGGGCGTCCGCTCGAACTGCTCCAGCAGGCGCGCCTGGTGCCTCGCGTCGACGCCGCGGAGCGCGTCGCCGCCCGTCGGCGACGCGAGGTACGCGTCGGGGCTCGGGCTCGGGCTCCGGTCGCGGCTCCGGCTCCGGCTCCGGCTCAGGCTCCAGTCGCGGCTCCGGCTCCGGTCATCGTCGTCGTCGTCGAAGACGAGCTCCTTGGTGCGGAGCTTCCTCCGGAGCTTCCTCCACCGACAGAGGAGGACCTGCAGGTCGTAGGGCGTGATGGACTCGCTGACGATGGGCGCGAACATGGGGCCGAGGCGCGCGCGCGCCGCGGCGGCGACGAACCCGAGCATCGGCAGCAGCCGAGGCTCGAGGGCGTCGACCTTGGCCGGCGTGCCGAGAGCGTCGTTGAGGATGGACAGGAGCTCTCCGCGGTCCCCGGAGTGGGACCGCAGCGGCACGCCCGGGTAGAGGTACTCGAACGCGGCCATTGCGCCGTCGCCGACGGTGCAGGAGCTGTCGAGGATCTTCGCCGCGGGGTAGGCGAAGTGCGTCGAGATGAGGAACGTCTTCGCCATCGTCGGGCCGACCTTGTGCTCCTGGCGGAGCGCCTGCTCGAGGCTCATCATGAGGTCCGGGCCGCCGAGCGACGGCCGCGCATCGCGCGCGTAGAAGAGCATGTAGGCCTCCTGGCGGAGCACCTCGGCGAACGTGCACGTGCGGACCGCGGCGTCGTCGAAGCACGACCAGGCCCCCGACCGCGTCCTGCAAAAGGCCGTGTAGTGGCCGCAGCGCGTCGACTGGCCGCGGTGGACGAGGACGCCGACGAGGCCGTAGCTCGCGGCGCCGCCGTCCGTCGTCTCGAGCTCGAGGCGCGGTTCGAAGGCGACGTGCTCCTCGATCTTGCCACCCCGCCCGTCGTAGCGATTCAGGTGCACCACCAGGGCCTTGGGCGCCGCGGCGACGCCGAGGCGCTTCGTCGGGCGCACGCGCTCCCCGCAGCAGCGGCAGCACCACTCGTCGTTCTCGAGCTCCTCGGGCGCGGTGAACGCGTCCAACGCCCGGGCGAGCGTCGGCTTTGGCTCGAGGCTCAGGTCGAGGAAGGGCTCCTCGGTAGCACTCTCGTAGTCGCACTCGGGGCAGCGGAGCGTCGACGACGTGCGGCCGCCGAAGACCGCGCGCACGGGGTTCGCCGTCGACGACAAGGGCGGCTCCACGGCGTCGAGGAGCGCCAGCAGGAACTCGTGGGCGTCCTCCTGGCGGCCCGGCTGGAACTGGTCCCCAACGGCCCGGAGGCGCTTCACGAGCTCCCTCGGCTTGAACGTGCGCGACGCGCCGAAGACGCCGCCGAGCGCGTCGCGCAACGCCACCGCGACGTCGGGCTTCTGCGCTTGCGCGTGCAGCGACTCGTCGCCCAGGGTCTGCGCCACGCCGGGCGCGTGCGCGAGGCACTGGATCGTCGCGTTGAGGAAGCACGTGTTGCCGAGGTTGACGAGCCCGGCGCACCGGCCCGCGGCCGCGGGCGCGGGCGGCGCGAGTCGGTGCGGCGCGGCCCAGGCCTCGAAGCCGTCGCCCAGCTTGGCGCAGAGGAGCGCGTAGATGCGCGCGCCGAGCGCGGTGAAGCGCGCGGTGCGGTCGATGATGTGGCAGACGTACTCGTCGCCGCTGCTGTCCTTGTCCGGGTAGCAGGAGTAATCCGTCGTGTGGAGCTTCTTGTTGCCCTCGGCGCGGTAGGCGGCGTAGCGCTGGTGGAGCTCGCCGTCGCGGCGA